CAAGAGCCAAATTAGACTAAACTGCGCCAAATAATATTCTTAAAAGGATTTATACATGCATTATATTCTAAGTGACACTAAATATCATGAAAATTATCCATTTATGCGCTTTTTTAAAATCACGGTTCCGAACGTAGTTGGATACCTTAAGTCAATTCGCACGAATTACAATCATATTACAACATTTAACAGTTTTTTACATATTTTTTTCTATGCATGTTATTTATTAATCACATTGAAAAAGAAACGTATACTTAAAAACCAGAAAGATTAAATAAAATTAGTTTTTTTCTTCTCGAATGAAATGCGAGGGCTAGTTTTTCATATAAAATGTTTTAATGAATAAAAGCCTTAAAAATTAGAAGAGCAAATTATCCTGGTTATGGGAGTGAACAAAGTGCGGTTAAGTGTAAGACTCGCACAAAAGCCATTGCGTGTAACACTAATAGCTACTGGTTAAACTTAACAGAACTAAAAAAAGTAGTTGGCCAGGGTTCAGAATAATGACGTCTGCAGCCAATAACCTTGCGTGTCTCCCGCAATCTTAATTCAACTAAATCAAATCATAAATTACACTTCAAATCAATGCATGTTCAAAACAGCTCAATATTTGCTCGAAATATTATTTCTTTATACATATTTAATGCAATGGAAACAGTAAATGGACAAGAAAAGTAGTCTTTAGTTATATTTTGAGTTGAAACTGTAGAAGTGTATAAGGTTAACTTTTTAAAATTAATTTTTCAATATTCCGGCTCGCAAGCATAAAATTTAAATACTGATGATTAATATAGCAATCTCTACAAAGAACAAACTGTCGAAAGCAAAGACAGATGTGTCATGTAATGTAATATTTACAAAATTTGATTTGATTTGATTTTAAGTCACACTTTGAAGTAACACGAGGGCTATTAAGGAAAGACTTCGTAAATATGAACCATGGTCAAGTGACGAGGACGACATTTCAGCTGGCACCTCCCTCCAAACTTCTACACCACGCCAATTTGAAGTACATTGAGCCTCAACAGTTTTAATGTGCATCAACCCTGTTACACATTATCAGTTTACATTGGCACTAGGTCTCGAAATGTAAAAAGAATAATATCAGCGGATTTAAAAGTGTAGCTAAATTCTCTACATTGTCGAGTGAATGAGTGAGTGAATATTAACGTCACACTGTCAGCTACACGAGGGCTTTTGGTGACGGACCACGTAATTTTGACCCTGGTCAAAGTAACGGGGCCGCCTCGGCGCGGGGGCCCCCCCCCCTCTCCTAACTACTTCACCACACCAACGGGAGGACATTTAAGCTCTCGACAGATTTAACATGCTTCGCTCCCCTACACGATGGGTCTTTAGTGGTACTGGGCTCAAACTCGTGACAAGACCAGCCACGATCCGATACCTTAACCCCTCGGCTACCGCGACCACTCAACACTGTCGAAATTTTAATGTTAAATACTTAAAATTCAAAATTCGATCCTACATTTGATATATATGGTCATACTGAGTTGCTTTTCCCAACTAGCAAAAATCTCATTGCATCGCATATTAAGGCAGGGAATAAAACAGCTGTGCCCACAATGAATCGATTATTCTAAGCTCGGGGTGGGCATTAATTCGATTGCGATCGACCGCCAAGACATTTTGGAGTGACCGTTTGAAGATTAGTAGTTAGTAATTATATACCGAAATATATTCAAGATTGACTGACAATATTCAGACTAAGTATTCTATTGACTATAACTACAAGAACTAACTTAAGATGAATATGTTTTATTTTTTAATGCATTTTGAATTGTTTGATCATAAATGTATCATTTGATATTATTATGTTTGTGGCTATTATTATAATAATGTTTTTATCTTGCGTTTTAATTCAAACGTGATCTTAAAAATATAAGATTTTTTTATTGTAGTTATGTAGGTAAGTACATATTCCATATTTATTATTAAGTTGTAATAAACATTGTAGACCTTTTTCTTAGCTCACTTCACCCACGACATTGGATGGACCGCAATACCTTGAAAAAATTAGAAGCAGCCCCTGCTCTGGAAAAGTTTGCCCACCTCTGTTCTAAGCTGTTATCTAAAGGACTTAATAAATGCAGTAATAAAATTATCAACGATGGTTTTCAATAACACTTGTACTCTCTCTCTCTGACGATGTTATCTATCTAGAATTAACTACCACACTTTAATAACAAACAACAGACTTTATTTACAACTGCTAACTACTCACACCTTGTAACGAACTCTAAACCCGTTCTGAAACTCTAGGTGGTAACACGGACTGATCCGAGGTACTGCGCCTGCGGGAGTGCCGCGCCATTTTATTCGGTGTTTACCTCTCGACGAGAGGTCGTTTTGAGCTCCGCCAGCGAGCTGAGAGTGGATATTTAGATTCCGGTGATTGTCTCGCAACGAGAGAATACGATAAGCTCCACCAGTGAGCTTTGTGAGAAGATTATTCAGTGTTTGTCTCTTGAAGAGAAATCTGTGAGCTCTACGTGAAAGTTTTTGGTGTCTGCCGGTGGCAGATGTGTTGGATGACTAAGTGAGTGAGTGAATATTAACGTCGCACTGTTTAGCTACACGAGGGCTTTTGGCGACGGACCACGTAATTTTGAACCATGGTCAAGTGACGTGGATGACTCCTCAGCTGGCACCCCCCTCCCCTCTCCTAATTACCGCACCACACCAATGGAAGGACGTTTGAGCTCTCGACAGATTTAACGTGCATCGCTCTCCTACATGGTGGGTCTTTAGTGGTATTGGGCACGAACTCGTGACAGGGCCAGCCACGATCAGATACCTTGACCACTCGGTTACCGCGGCCATAAAAAGAGAATGCCAACGGCACGCGGTGTTCCCAGGTGGTCACCCTCCCACGTACTGACTGCCCCCCGATGATGCTTAACTTCGGTGATCGGACGAGAACCGGTGTTTTCAGCATGGTATGGCCACCTGTTGTGTTGGACGACAAAAGGACCAATAATTTGCTTTATTTCTAAACAACTATCAACAAACTCGGGATATATTTGCGACTTTTACTTAAAATATGTACAAAGTGTATATAATTTTATGTTGTGTGATCGTGATCCAATAAACTATTAAAACATCAATCAAGTTTCATCAATTGGCAAGGCAACCTTATACATTACAACCTTATACATTACTAAGCTATCTCTCTCACACTTTATACATATTACTCTCACACCTCATAACCTCAGAAACTCCGCTCAGACTCTCTCAAACGCTCCTTTCTCTGTCTGGTCCCCTTACACGCAACTCTCCCACACTCTCCGGGATACACTTATTCAACACTTCTGTTGAAACTGCGCCATCTATTACCTCAACAACACTAATGTGCTCTTCAACAAGAAAATATCTGCTCTTAATATAAAAAAAATTAGTAAATATTTATCTATTGAACAATTATAACTGTAACTTTTTACTTGGGTGTTTTTGAGCAAAATGCTTCTGGTGTCCTAGGTGGAAATGTTTATCAAATATTTACAACTTTTCAAACATTCTGCTTCACTATTAATGATAAAATTATAATTCTAGAAAAAAAAAATTATAAAATGAAAAGTTTATAAAACCATGCTTCATGTAACTTTTCTGTGTTTTGATTGTGCTTAAACATCCGTACAACATTCTACACTTAATTTAAATAATAAGGATATTCTGATTTTCCATTTTGAAACCACAGGCAATTCGTATCGGTAAGGTTCAAAACAAAAACTTCCAATATTGTTTCAAAGTTGGTCGTCTTTCAATTAAAGGAAAGCACCACACACAATCGACATGCAAGTTCTTTCGTAAATCATACTTATTCTGGAACTCTCTTGAAATTACAGAACATTTTCTTTTAACAGGAGCAAATTACACGCAAGTATAACATAACAATAGACCAGATTCAAAAAATCACCCAAATAAAGAGCACATCAATTCAAATTTGCAAACACGTTTTCGCATTCGACAAATGAAACGCATAGTCGCTGTCAAATGTTTTTATCCCATATTACTTCCTTACATCATACTTATATAGGTTGTGGAAAATCTTTTAGAACCTTTTAACGTTTCCTCGCCAAATAATCATCCTAGACTTTCCTGGACTTTTCTAGATCCATCTATTTTTGAAGCTAAATTTATCGACTAAATTTGTCACCGAGGCCATTCTTTTATTAATTTAGAATTATTGAATAAAAAACATTCTTTCTTGGCCTGCAAACGATCTCACCGGTCACAATCCCTTTTCGGCAGGTAAGTGTATAAACTTTTCTCGTAATAAAACATGTTACAATTACAACCGAATCAATATTTAATATTGTTATGTAGATTGGGATTCGAGGATTTTATGCAAATCAGTCACACAGAGCAAGATAGTTCTTCAGGAGAGATGAAAATTCCTTGTTGAAAAACAATCCTTGAAATACAGGATACAGCAATCAAATTCGCTGAGAATATCTCAGAAGGCCTTCACACTTTCTACTGCACTCAGACACAACTATCAGTATCTAAAATACAAGTATGATCAAAGATTATTCGCAAGCCCTCGCTCGGCCTATTCAACAGCCTTAGTGATAACTAATTCCTGGTCGACTTTTTACGGTTAAATCAATAATACTCTGCAATAATCAAAACAAGACTAACTCAGTTTCGGCGAGCGACTCCTTATTTATAGATCACGCGGATTTTTCTCGAAAAATCCGCTTGCGTCATAAATCGTAATCTTTGTAAATTTCTCCACTAATTTCTGGAAGAATCCATAGGGAAGCGAATACACCAAAAATGTTAGCCAAGTCCCCAGCATGGTCATCAAAAATTAGGCCAACTTGGTTCTATCGCGTCAAGATGTCACCGTTTCCATTGAATCGGCATTATAATGTAACGAATGGCGTTGCTTGCGAATATTACAATGTTAACATAAAATATATACAACATAGAGTAATAAAAACGTATTTCACATTCAGCTATAAATTATTTACACTATTTTAACTATTCTTTATACAAAATTCGTAACAATATTTTCAGAATATTAAATATTGATAGCTTATGCAAATGAATTTCTTAAACTGACTTAAAAACTTTAAATGTTTATATTTTATGTACCAACTGCATATGTTTGGTACTTTTTAAACTCTTGAATGCAATACTCGGTAATATTTTTCCCATTCACTGTTTTATTCTGTTTTTAGAAAACTAGCAGATTAAGTATAAATAAATCACGATTCAGTCTCATTTTTCTCAGAGCAATTTCTTCGCTAAAAAAAGGTAAGTTTCTTGTTTCCTTCTTGGATGCTTCGTAACGAAATAAGAGTAAACTTGTTGCTGAAACGAAATACCTGAAGACATTTGGTTTCTGAGCGACGTTTTTCACTACAATTTCCTTTCCTCCCTTTTCTGAAGAACAGCAAGTCTTTTTTTTTTCCTGCTAAGAAGATCAATCTCAATTTAGGATTCTTTTTTTTCTAACTTCTTGTGCTGGAGATATTTCCAAAATGAATAAATATGATACTTTCTCTAGACTTTTAAGAAGAAACGGTTTGTGAAACTCGAGACAAAAATTGTGGTTTAATTAATTGCGGTAATTTAGAAGTCTGCATAAATTTGACATTATTTTTCACAAGTTTTGATTTACACCTGCATAAAAATAATACATAATTCAATGAGTTGAAAAAAATGTTTGATTTTTATTTCTATTATCATAAAAAAGTTTTTAACTTATATTTTAATACATAAGTGAGTGAGTGTTTATTATGGTCGCACTATAAAGCAACACGAGGGCTATTAGCGGAATTCCCAAAGGAACCGAGTTCACCCGAAGAGGGTTTAGAGCTACAAACCGATCCCTTCCGGAAAAGGACTATTGGCGGCGGATCCTTGTTATTTTAAACCATGATCAATCGATGAGGAGGACACTCCTCTCCAAACTACCACACCATGCCAAATGGAGAACTTTAAGCCTCAAGAAATTTAAATATACCAGCCCCTCTACACGGCAAGTTTTCAGTGACACTAGGGCTCAATCTCACGACACACTGGCCATAAGCTCATGACCAGTGGCGTAACGTACACCCCCGCATCGCGGGGGGACCCAGGACACTAGGGGGCCCAAAGCCTGACTGACGCCAAATACGTTCCCTTTGTAAGATTGGGCATGGAGCCCCAAACCTGACTTTGAAAGGGAGCCCTAACATTCTCCATTAAGCCACTGCTCGTGACCGCGACCACCTGGCTTCTGCAGCCTTTACAAGTAAGAGCAACGTTATGAAAGTTATTTCTACTAATCCCTACCATATTCTGGCATTTATCTGTGTAAGCAAACAATACTCAATCAAGGAAAACTTGAAGACAAAAAAAAATAATAACATTCAACACTAGTTTTCCTTATTTTGTAAATGGTAAAGGTTCTGAAGCATTTAAAACATTTTGTTACAGAATTTTATTATAATTATGAAGTGGCGCTTATACGAAAGACAGAATCCTCGACCTATGGATCCGAAGCCCAGTAATATAATCACAGGACAAAATTAATCACTCCTGTCCGGAGGTTTTTACTGGCTTATGAAGATATATCACCTCTACAGTACTCCCCCACCAGAGAGACGGGGGATAGTAGAATGAATGATATATTTGTTATGGCGAGCGCATGTGGCGCGTGAGTTGGTGGCTGACGAGTGAGGCTAACGACTTTAGTTGCTGCGTCAAGTGGGTCTGATAACTTTTGATAGCTCTTTTTGCGGGTAGATGGCGCCATGACAAATCAGAAGGTTGCGTTTTTGCTTAATTCAGCCAAGGTCACCTATGAGGAGGATAGTACCCGCGACGCTCGGTTTCGTAGCCGAGTAACATGACCACTAAACAAAAGTGATCACTCCTGTCAGGTGACTGTTACTGGCTTATGTAGATGATACTGCTACAGTTACATGATGTATTAACAATGTTTAAAGAATAGAAATTAAAATTCAGTATTTATGTAATAAACTTTATCTGTTTAATTAATGTTTCATTTTTCTTTCTTTTCAGTTAAAACGATTATCTCATCTTTTGGCAAGGAGGCGTATACCTGGCGAGCACAGAAGGAGGAGTCATTTCACCGAAGAAAGACGATTGGCTGAAATTATCAATCCACCGGATGGAGAGGTATATTGCTTAACAAATACACATGATTCACTTTTTCTAGAATTCGAAACAAAATTCTGTATAGCAGTTGTATATATATATATTGCCATGGTACTCGTATAATGTTTGATCAATTCAAATAAAAAACTTAATAGAGTAACCCAATTTTAACGTTCAACCACCCAAGAATCTAAGTGATACAAAAAATAAAACTTAAGTGGAACTTATAAAAGGTAACAAAGACTATAACTTTAAAATTAAATTTTAAAAAATTCAGCATTTTTAGCCGAAATTGGAGATTTAAAGACAAACACATGCATTTTATATTAATCGAAAGAAAAGCATGTGTAGCATAGCAAAACAAACGGAAAGACACAAAAAGTTGACAGTTGGTGCACATTGAAGGAATAAAAAATAAAGTGCACTTTAAGATTAATATTTTTGAAAATCACCTAAGATTTTTTTAAAAATTCAATGTTAAGGAAAGTTTTCCTAAATTGGGTATACTTTTTGGTAGAGCTCTTGAACTAAATATTGTAGGATAAAATGTTTCACTAACAGAGATTGGTTGTATGGTAAAATCATACTCAGAAGCCACATTACAGTTATCAGAAACGGGGGGACCTTAATAAACCTTAACCCTCCAAGCGGTCTGCACGTAAAATTCCGCCATTCCAGAGTTGCTTTTTCTGCCTTCAAGTAAGATTCCCAAAAGCGGCCGAGCCGCATTCTTAAAAATGCGGCTCAACCGCTTTTGAGAACCCCACCTGAAAGCAAAAAATATGTGCGGTGCATTTTTGAAGCATCTCCAGAATGGCAAGACTTTAAGTGCAGACCG